ATATCTGAGCGGAACTGTACCTTTGGCCCAGGCTGCTTCTGTCTGCTTTGTCCTGCCGCCTAGCCTCCCTGGTTTGCCCCCAGTCTGGACCCTTGGCCCCCAGCTCCATGACCTCTTCACCCCATCTACGTTATCTCAACTACTTTCACTCCTCAGCCTCATCCTCTTTGCCTTCATAGCTTCATCACACCATGACCACCACCAGCCTTGGCTCTGGGCCCTGGTGGAGGTTCACAGAACTTCCTGGTCCCACAGTTACCGTTCGTGGGTCTGTTCCAGAGAACCCTTAGAGCCCGAGTCCTTTGGTCTCTGCTCCCTGACATCTCTCCCAACCCATTGCCTACTTGGTTCCCTTCTGTTGGGGAGCTGCATCTCTAAACAGCATCAAGCATTAGCCTAGAGGGTTTTGGGGGATGGGACTGCAGATCTTCCAGAGTTGAGGGTGGTGAGCTGAGGGGTCAGGCGGAGTGTGTGGGCCATGGGATGGTTTGGTTGTGGGCATGGAGTGGGAGCTAAGTTGGTAGGGCCAGACTGGAATGTAGATCTGGTCAGAATGGCAGCTGCTCCCTGTTGAACATGTCAGACCCTTTCTGGACCTCCTTTGCCCCTTTTCTCTCTGTGGCCCAAAATGGGGCAATCCCTTCTTATCCATTTCTCAGCTTGTTGCTTCTCCTCCTTACCTGCCTTCCTCCGTGAGGTGCTGGACCTGGGCCTTCCTCTGTCCTTACACAACGCACCTTCTTCCATGGGTGTTCAATGTGACTTGTTCTCATTCACACAATCTTATGTTTGCTTACATGCTTCTATTCCTAGTTCATATTTTTCTCCTTTGCATGGTTAAAACTTCTTTGTGCACTCAGTCCTCTAAAGAGTCTCCGTTCCCTGCCTGTGAACTCTTGATGTTCCTTCTTGTGGTATTTCACCCAACTCTGGATGTCTTTCAGAACCTATCTTGTTTTCTCTGCTTCTCTCGCCCATCGAGACCTTCCTGATCTCGCAACACAGTCCCATCTCTCTGTCTTGTCTGTATACAGCTCCCCCCGCCCCCTCTGTCTAACATGTTTTCTGTTTCTCTCCCTCTCCTTGTCTCTGCTTCTGTCTCCTTCCTCCTTCTCTTCTCCCCTTTTCCCCTGGTTGTTCCTCCTCTTCCTCCTCCTCTCCCTCTTCCCTGTCCCCATTTCCCATTGATCCATCCACTGCACAGTCAAAGGAGCTGCAGATCAAGAAGCAGTTCCAGGAGACGTGTAAGATCCAGACCCGGCAGTACAAGGCTCTGCGGGCACACTTGCTGGAGACCACGCCCAAAGCTCAGCACAAGAGCCTCCTTAAGCGTCTCAAGGAAGAACAGACCCGCAAGCTGGCGATCTTGGCAGAACAGTACGACCAGTCCATCTCAGAGATGCTCAGCTCACAGGCGGTGAGGCCTGGAGGTCTGGGAGGGAGATGGTGGAGGATGTCCTCTCTACTTTTGGCTTAGTTATGGGCAATGGAAAGTGGGAAGTGTGGACAGATCTGGACCTTTTTGTACTTGGGATACTCTGATACTCTTTCACAGTTGTTATTCTCCCCAGTGGTTTTATTATTTCATATTCTCTCCATGGTTTTATTATTTCTCTTAGCATTTTCTTAAGGTCTTGACAAAACCATCCTGCCTGTTCTACCAAGCACCACCAAGGAAAACTGGCTATAATTTTTGCCTGGACCTTAGTTAGTTTACTGTGTGAACAGAGAGCAGACTCCAATGTGTGTGGCCCTTGTGGCTCATTTACTCAGAGTTCAGGAGATTTGGAAGGTTGCTGTTCTAAAAACTGATGGCACACAACCCTGGAGTGGGCCACTGAAAATGTATATGGAATGTAAAGAGTCAAAGGGCCCCATTCTCACCCAGTCCCACCTCTCTGACTGTTTTCTAATGCATATTTGGAAAATTATATACAAATTTTAAACAGAACGGAATCATAATTTGCATACCCTTTTAACTTTGTTTTTTCACTTAATAGTTCTTGAGCATCATTCCACATCAATATACATAATTCAATTTTTTCACAGTGTAGAATTTTCTTGGTTTTTTGGTGGTAGTGGTGGTTTTTGTTTTTTTCTGAGACAGAGTCTCAGGCTGGCCTCAAAACTTGCAATCCTCCTACCTTAACCTCTCAAGTGCTGGGATTACAAGGGTGCACTACCATGCCCAGCTACAGTGTAGAATTTTCCACATTATGGCTGTACTATAATTTATTTAACCCATACCTTATTGGTGGACATTTAGGTTGTGTTCCAGCATTTTGCTATCACAACGCTTCCGTGAACACCTCGAGCACATGTGCAAGTATACCTGGGGGATAGATTCCTGCAAGTGTAATTGCTGTGCCACAGGGTATGACCATCTTCCATTCTGATAGACGTTGAGACCGCTGCTTCTTGCCACCTTAGGGCCCAGGGAGGATGGTGGGGGACATGGAGGAGGTCCCTAAAACTTGTCCTTTTTGCCCTCTAGCTCCGTCTTGATGAGACCCAGGAGGCAGAGTTCCAGGCCCTGCGGCAGCAGCTTCAACAGGAGTTGGAGCTGCTCAATGCCTATCAGAGCAAGATCAAGATCCGCACAGAGAGCCAGCATGAGCGGGAGCTGCGGGAGCTGGAGCAGAGAGTGGCGCTGAGGCGGGCACTGCTGGAGCAGAGGGTAAGGGGCAGGTCCTCTAGGGTGCGACAGGGAGGGCAGGCTCCCCACTCCACGATTCTCACCCCTATTCTGGGTGCCTCAGGTAGAAGAAGAGCTGCTGGCCCTGCAGACAGGACGCTCTGAGAGAATCCGGAGTTTGCTTGAGCGGCAGGCCCGTGAGATCGAGGCCTTCGATGCTGAGAGCATGAGGTTGGGGTTCTCCAGTATGGCTCTGGGGGGCATCCCAGCCGAGGCTGCTGCCCAGGGCTATCCCGCTCCACCCCCTGCCCCTGCCTGGCCCTCCCGCCCGGTTCCCCGATCAGGGGCTCACTGGAGCCATGGCCCTCCTCCACCAGGCATGCCCCCCCCAGCCTGGCGTCAGCCCGCTCTGCTGGCTCCTCCAGGTCCCCCAAACTGGCTGGGGCCTCCAACACAGAGTGGAACACCTCGTGGTGGAGCTCTACTGCTGCTAAGAAACAGTCCCCAGCCCCTGCGACGGGCAGCCTCTGGGGGCAGTGGCAGTGAGAATGTGGGCCCCCCTGCTGCAGCAGTGCCGGGGCCTCTGAGCCGCAGCACCAGTGTTGCTTCCCACATCCTCAATGGTTCCTCCCACTTCTATTCCTGAAGTGTGGGGTGGTGAGCAGAGGAGTGGGATGGGTGAGTGGGTGGAGCCTAATCCTGGCAGGCAGTAATCTTGAGGCCCACCCAAGGGTCATGGGGACGGGATATTGGCTCCAGCTCTCCTCAGACCTCCTCATCTCATGAGCTTCTTGGGGCTAGCCAGTGGCCCAGGCCAGCTTGAGTATCAGTGCCTCAAGGCTGACCAGGAGCCCTGCCTCCTACCATGGTGCCAGGGTCTCCCTCCATCCCCCACTGGGAAAGGAGGGAGCTGTGCGTGTCAAATATTCATCTGATCCCCTGGGGGAGGGGAAGGGTGGGTCTAAATATATTATATTCAGAGAACTATACTACCCTTGCAGTGGGGCCATGGACTGGGGACAATTGGACCCTAGGCCCAGGATGTGACAGAGCAGGACTGGGGCCCCAGGCAGGGAGGAGTAGGAAAAGACCCTCCCTCCTCAGAAGGATCAGGATGGGGTCTTGAGGTCAGGATGCCTGGGTCTCCATTCCCCCGTTGCTGTCTGACGTCCTGTGCCGTCTTGTCTGTTTTTTTTTTTTCCCTTTTAATTGGGGGCAGGGCTGGGGCGGGGGAACAAGGGAAGGACCTTGGAAAGGACTGCTCCCGGACCTGGGGGCAGTCATGGGAGCCCCTCTCAGCTATGGGGCTGGCACAGAACCCCAGGGAAAGCTTTTAATAAACTGTTGGCTATTCTAACAGATCCCAGGACTCACCCTTTCTGTCTAAGGGGTCTATGAAGTCTATTCAGTGTTACTTGTTTTTAAAAAGAATTTATTGGGCTGTGCAACTAAAAGTTGAAGCGATTTTATTGACTTCAGGCCTGACTGGATCAAGAGCCTTATAGGAGTTCATTGACCTCTTAACCTCATATTTCTCTGCTTCCCTTTGCTTTGACTTCAGATTCTCAGAATCTCACGCTCAGATCCCTGGCAGTCCCAGGCCCACACCTTAATAGCCACCTCAGCAGCAAGCCCCCAGAGGTCTGCAGGGCCCTGATTGGCCAGTCTTGATCCTGTACCCACCACCTCTATAATGCTGAGTCAGCCCTAGAGTAAGTAGCTGTAAAGAAGGAAGACAGACACCAGCTGTGACCATCAGTTTTGGTTTTTTTTTTCTGGTGGTGGTGGTATTGGGGTTTTGAACTACAAGCTTTGTACTTGCTTGACAGGCACCTGAGCCAAGCCTCCAGCCCTTTTTGCTGGTGTTTTTGGTTTTTTTTTTGGTGAGACTGGGGTTTGAACTCTGTTTCATGCTTAGAAAGCAGGCATGCACTACCGATTGAGGCACATCTCCTATCCATTTGCTCCAGTTATTCTGGAGATGGGGGTCTTGCAAACTTTTTGCTCAGACTGGCCTTAAACTGCAATCCTCCTGATCTCAGGCTGCTAAGTAGCTGGGATTACAGGTGTGAGCCAGACGCCCAGCTTGTGTGCCACATAGTCTTAAGGCCAGTTAGTCAGAACTTCCAACTGGGCATTAATCATCAGAGCTCGCTGAAAGGATGACCAAAGGGGCCCACTGGTCAGGCTGGAGGAAAGCTAGAAGCCACACCCTTCTTTGATAGGATCTGGTGGCAGACTTTGGATGGCAGGGTCCAGGAAGTAGGTAACTGGAATCTGAGAAAGTAAAGGAAAACAGACCTCTAGCTACTATCAGCAGTAGCTTTCCTCAGCTTCCTGGCCCCAAACTACAGGGCATGAGAATGGGGGACTTGTTCTGATAATGATTGCAAACATTCCTTTATTGAGTCTTAAAAAATAAACCCCTGTGGACACCTTGAAGAACATGTAGTGAAGAATGTGTAGTTGAGCAGCTTATGTCCTTGGGGGCTTCACCCTTCTCTAAAGAAAGCTGCTTCCACTCTGCAGGCTAAGAGCAAGGCTATAAGCTTTGTACAGGTGGAAGGACACTCCTGGGATGTCAGGGAGCTCAGTTACTTTCACAGTCACTGCTGATGATGCCACGCATATGGGACCAGTCGGGGGGTGCCTGACGGGGCCGCTCTTCCTCAGAGTCTAGGGTCCTGCAGTACAGCTCTCCTGAGAGAGCTGCTTCTCCTGAAGGGTTCCAGGCAGTGCGTCTTCGTGGCCGTCCTGGGGGCAGGGACCAATTAGTTGTTTGAGAAAGTACAACCTTTTCCTCTCCTGGGCAGAGGAAAAGCCCCTCACCTGAACCACTGATGATGTTTGCCACATCTAGGGAGGCCACCTCAGCCGCCTCTTCCCGCTCTTCCTTCAGTGCTCTGCACTTCTCTAAGGAAGGGTTCCCTGGGGCAGAAGAAGCCTGTGATCCTCTCCCCCACAGCAGCCCTGGCCCTCCTTCTGGCTGCCCCCAGAGCACACCCTCACCCCTCACCCTTCATGCCCAGGGCTTCCAGCTCAGCTCTGAGGACACTCAGGCGCTCCTTGTGTGAGCGACAGGAGCCCAGGAGCTTCTTGTAGTTTCGGTGGGCACCACAGGCACGAATATAGCGCTTTAACCTCATCACTGCCGGGTGATCCTCTCCTCGACGATCAGAGCCAGCCTACCAAAAAAGGAGCAGCTCAAGGCCAAGCCTGCTGGACTGGAGTCATCGTCTCCCTTTTACCCTAGTGGTGGCCTCCCACCCAGTCTGTGCCCTCACCTTTCTGCCTTTGGGCTCTGGGCTTCCATCTGAGGAGGATGAGGAGTTTCGTGTTCTGCCTTTCTTGGAGCTCTTGGAAGATCGGTTCTTCCTTTCCTCCTTGGGATTCCCTTCTGCCTCGCTGTCACTCACCTCTCTCTCCATGTCACTGTCTTCACCATTGATGCTGTCCAGTTTGGCTGTCTTCGCAGTGCCTTTAACAGTTGCTTGCAGCTTCCCACTGTCTTCATCTTCACTAATTCCTCTCTGCCTTTTCCCACCCTTACATTGGGTCACATCCTTGCTCTTCCTCTGCACTGGGGGCTCTTCATCTTCCTCGGTGTTATCCCCACTGCCTACCTCCTCTTTCTCTTCTTCCTCACTGTCCCCCAAGTCTCCCATTAGACTCTCCACCTTGCTTTTCTGCTTATAACTCCTCTCTGTCCAACCTGACCTTTCCTTGTTGCTCTTGACTATGGGCTTCCAATCTTCCTCTTCCTCCTCTCTGTTCTCTTTCTTCTTGACTAAGATCTCCTCCTCACTCTCCTTTTCACTCTCCTGGTAGCTTTTCGTGCCTCTGTTTCCCCCTACTTCCTTTGCTCTTTGGATAGGTTCTTCCTCACTGTCCTCACTTTCTTCCCTGGCCTGCTTCATACAGCCTGAGGCCTTGCCTGGTGCCTGCTTTTTCTTGGTCCCAGGTTCCTTCCTAGTCCTGTCCTTGTGTTCTTTTTCCTCTCCTTCCTCACTGTTCTCTTCCTTCCACGTCTTACTTGTTCTGAGAGAGCCCTTCCCCTCCTCCTCTCTCCCCTCCTCTAATTCCATCTTTGCATTCAGGTCCCTTTGCTGTTCTTCATTGCTGCTCTCAACTGCTTTCTTTGATGCTTGCCTTGGACTCTCCTCCTTGGCTGGACTTACTGCTGCTGCTTTCCTGTTCTTTGGTGGAGATGCCCAGTGGTCTGGACTGGAGGCTGCAGAGCTGTGCTCTGGAATAGGAGAGAAGACAGGATTTGAGATAGGATGCCGCTGTCTCTGATTGATAGAGGGAAAGGCAGCATGAAACAGCATTCATCTCATTCCTGGTTCCTGACTCACAGGCCTTGCCCCCTCATCTAATACTTTGGGACATAATACAAGCACAGTTAAGTACCGCTGGATGAACCAATTATACAGAAGGCGTACACACACCAAGGAGGGAGCACTAACCTGACTCTGAATTGAAGCGGAACCTTTTTCTTGCTGGGTCACCACAGACGGTGGGAGACCTCTTCACCTTCTTGGTAAGGTCTAGCTTCTCTTCCCTGGTACCAGCTTCCTCCACCTGTGTGTGCCCAGAGGGCAAAATGTACCAAGGTTATGTCCTGCCTCACCCCTCAGCAACAAACTGCCTCCTGTGGCGCATTTCGTGCCCACACCTGCATCTGCAGCAGCTGCTCCTCCACCAGCCGCTTCAGGGCCTGCTTCTCCTCGGGTTCTAGGTGAGCGCGGCCCGCGTGAGCCAAGAACTTCTGCCGTACGATGGAGTGCGTGAGCGTGCTAGGGAGACAAGTTTCAAGACGGAGTTCCCTCCCACCCTGCCCTTTCTATCCCCAACTCAATCCCCTGTGCACCTGAGGTCAGGGCGGCCCCTGAAGAAGCTGCGCGTGAACTCCTGCATCTCATCGTCCCGCGCCATTTTGCTCCCCCCGGGATTGGCCGCTCCCGCCTTTTCTTCCTCCCCGGCCGCCGTCAGCCCGTTTGACAGCAACTTTGCGCACGCGCAGTGCCTTGGTACTGCAAGGCAAGGGGCCGTTGGACCTCGGTCGCGGACCACTGCAGCCTTAAACTTTGCCAAGCAAAACTTGCTTTCCCTGAACAGTTAGTGGATCTCACGGTCCTCTCTTTGTTAGAACGAAAATCGTTCTCGTCAGAAACCAAGTCGGCGCCAACCTTTGGGAGTAACGTAATCAACTTGCGACGCTGCCATCCTCCGTGGTCACGGGCACCATCTAGGCCGCTGTTATTTCGAAGGGCAGAAGAGAAAGGGCATCCTTGCCAAAAGAGTAGGAATCTCTGGAGAATATCTTGTAGCTCCAAGTCTGAGCAGACTTAAAATCAGTAACGGCTTCCTCCGGAGTCCGCCATCTTTGTGACGTCCCTGCGCCGCTGCCACGCCATCTTCTACGTAGCCACTAGAAACAGCGTTCCTTTCCCGGTCTTCCCCAGGAGGGGGTGGTCCGTGCGGTTACGTTCCCTGAGCGCGGGGTGCGCCGGGAGTTGTAGTCCGATCTGGCATAGCATTGTAGAGTCCCCGGAAGTGGTGGCGTGAGAGGCCGGGCCGAGCCGGCTCGGGTAGCGGGACTCCGGACATTGGGTCGCTGCTCCCAGGCGGGTCATGAACGGGCCGGCGGACGGCGAAGTGGACTACAAGAAGAAATACCGGAATCTGAAGCGAAAGCTCAAGTTCCTCATCTACGTGAGTACTGGTGTGGGGAGGTTGTGGACTTTGAGGCCTGTCTCTATGAGAACCTTAGTTTACCCATGTGTAAATGCGGTGGGGCGAATTGTCTCTGGGTCCTGGGCTTCCTAACCGACCGCCCATGGCTCACGTTCGCCCTTCTTGTGATACAGGAGCACGAGTGCTTCCAGGAGGAGCTCAGGAAGGCGCAGAGGAAATTGCTGAAGGTGTCCCGGGACAAGAGGTGAGGCAAGATGCGGTGGCACAAGGGCGATGTGACTCCTTGGGATCTACGTTCTGATCCCAGCCTGGAATAGGAGCACAAGTGCATGGGCTCTTAGGGGTCCAGTGGGCCCTGTAGGAGGGACAGGGACCCTTGAGAACGTTGCTAAGATGGGAATAATCACTCTCCCAACTTTTCCTCAGTTTCCTCCTAGACCGACTTCTACAGTACGAGAACGTGGACGAAGACTCTTCTGGTGAGCAAGGTCATGAAAACGTGAAGGCGGATTTGCTTCTGGCGCTTAGGGCTTCCCAGTCCTCTCCTTTTAGACTGTGAAGCCCATGCAAACTGTAGTGGCTCTTAAACCTAGCTGCTTGCCCTCTGCAGCTGCCATTCTTTCAAGTATTTCTTGAGCAGCTACTGTGTTTCAGGCCCTGGCTTGGAACGGGGGATACATTGGTAGCAATGATGGACAAAGCCCTTGACATTTTGTAGTTTGTATTCTAGTTGGAGGGAATAAGTAAGTGAAGAAACAAAAGTAGAATTTGTAGATGGCAGTAAGGATTTGAAGGGAATAAAATCAAGGTCATGTGGTAGTGACTGGAGTAGAATGAATTGACAATTTTTTTTTGCAAAGGGCCAGATAATATATATTTTAGGTTTTATGGAATATACTGTCTTTGAAGCAACTACTCCTCTGGTATGAAAGCAACACAGCCACCATATAAATAAGCGAGGGTGGCTTTGTTTTGACAAAACTGTATTAATGGACGCTGAAATTTGAATTTCATATTGTTTTCATGCAATTTGTATTTTGATTTCTTTCCCTTGTTTTTTTGAGATAGGGTCTCACTACATAACCCAGGCTGGTGTTGAACTCGCTGTCCTCAAACTCAATCCTCTTGCCTCAGCCTCCCATTACAGAGGTGTTCCACCATATCTGGCTTCTTTTGATTTTTGTCTTCAACCATTTAAAAATTTAAAAGCCATTTTTCAGCTTATAGGCCACTCACAAGCTGGCAGCACAAAGCATTTAAATAGAGTTCTCCCAAGAATGGCCTTGTAGGAAGTGTTTGAACTGGAAGCAAAAGAAGCTGATATTGTAAAGACAGAGCTAGAACATTTCTAGATAGGATAACAAATGCAGAAGCCCTGGGGTAAGAACTGACCAGGCTTGAGTAACAGAAGCATAGAGCACTGTTTTTTCACACTTTGCTTTTAGTATTGCTTATAATTAAGTATATATTTTATATCACAATTCAAGTCCCCACATATATACTTATAAAACAAAACTTTTTATGATCACTAAATGAGTCATCCTGATACTTTTAAAACTGGTTTTTGTTTTATTTTGGTGGCACTGGGGTTTGAACTCACAGCTTCACATATGTAAAGCAGGCACTCTACTGCTTGAGCCACAACTCCAGTCCATTTTGCTCTGGTTATTTTGGAGATGAAGTCTCATGAACTTTTTGCCCAGGCTGACCTCAAACTGCAGTCCTCCCAAGTTCAGCCTCTCAACTAGCCAGAATCATAGGCATGAGCCATTGGCGCCCAGCTGTTTTAATGCTGGTTGTAAACTGGTAAATTAGTTTTATGACCACTAATGAATTGAGACCCACAGTTTGAAAAAGTTGTAAGGTGGGCATTTGTGGGCCTGCTCCAGAGTGGGAACCTTAGAAGCCCATCACATACAGTAACTTCTCTCCACAGTCTTTAAACATTGGTCTAGGGCAGGAATCAGAAAATAGGAGCCAACCAGGCTACTTATTTTTGTAAATGTTTTGTTGAACCAGTAACACCCATTCATTTACTACTACAGGACGATTGTAGATAAAGTTAGAGAACTTGGCAGAGGCCAGCTTATGTAGGCCATGACAGGAAGTTTAGCTTTTATTCTAGTCCCTCATTCCATGTTTCTCCCTTCCCTAAGGTCTTCCACGTAACTTTCTGCTTGAGGAGAACTTAAGGACAAGAAGTGTGAGAATCCAGCATGTTCATAAAATGGATTAAATCTGAGGAGCACCAGTCAGAGATTTAAGCCTTCACTTATAGTCTTTTTTTTTTTTTTTTTTTTTTTAACCTGTATCTCGAGAGGCCCGGAGCTAGGCAGAGCCACCTGACCCTCAGGCCTCCGAGGGCTGCTCTACCCCTCCCTTCTGGCCTCCAGGAGCAGCGGAGCTCCGGGCGGGCAAAGCTCAAGGGGTTGATCCTTCACTTACCTTCTGAAGAAGCCCACACATGCCACTTCTCAGCACAACGTGAGGAGAGCCGTAACAAATGATAGGACTCTGGGAGAGCCAACTGGGACTGAGGGTTTCTGGGAGACTTAGAGGAAGAGATATTCAGTCTGCATTTTAAAGGGTCTAAAAGCCAGGTATAGTAGCAGAGCACACCTGTAATCCCAGTACTCTGGAGGTTGAAACAGGAGAATCATGTATAAGTTTGAAACCAGCCTGGGCTACATAGCAAGACCCTGTCTCAAAAATAAATAGGCCTGGCGGAGTGACTCAAGAGGTTGAGCGCCTGCCTAGCAAGTCCTGAATTCAAACCCCAGTGCCGAAAGTACAAAGATCTATCTAAGCAGAGAAATTGGGAATGGCATATACATATATATATACCACTTATAGTGATTGTTAAGTGAATGATGGGACTTCTAGGCAGAAGCGCTGATCTAGGAAACATTTCTTTGTTGAGGAAGGAGGTTGGCATATTGTAAAAAGTACAGTTTAGGGTCTTGAGGGTGTAGCTCAGTGGTCGAGTACCTAGAATGTGCAAGGAAGGCCCTGGGTTCCATCCCCAGCACCACAAAAAAAAGTACAGTTTTGGCAGGGTACAGTGGCTCATGTCTGTAATCCTGAGTATTCAGGAGAAGGAGATCAGTAAGATCACTGTTGGAAGCCAGCAAAAAGTTCTTGAGACCCCTGCTCAACCAATGAATAGTGTGGTGACACATGCCTGTCATCCTAGTTATGTGGAAAAGCACAAATAGGATCACAATCATGGAGTGAGACCATATCTGAAAACAACCAGTGCAAAAAAGGGCTGGTGGGTCAAATGGTAGAGCAATCTTGAGTTCAAACCCTAGTATAGTTTAAAAAATAAATAGTTTTTGCTGAGAGACCTGAAAGGTAGGTTGAAGCAAAGTCCTGGTGCTGCTTGCAGGCACCAGGTGACACCATCAGAAAGAATGTGATCAGGTTTATGTTTTAGGTTGGAATTGGGTTAGATAGTGGGTGGCAGAAGGTGGTGAGTCCAGTAGACTAGTGACCAGTGGTTTTAACATGGTAGTGGGCTGACCTTGTAGCCTTTGGAATAGGGAGCAGTGGGTGAAATTAGGACAGGTTTGAGGGGTGGATTAAATGTGACTGCAAATACAGGGAGTGGACCTGAAGGCTGCTTAGAGACAAACAAGGAGAGAGTGGCATAAAGTGGTCAAGGAACACAGATTCCTGTGTTCAAGACCCAGCCACATGCCTGGCTTTCTGAGCCTCTGGCCTTCCTCCTTGATGGTTCTGAAGATCAGGCAAGGTAGTGAGGTGCAGATAAAAGAACCTGGTATTTAGTATGTGATTAGCAAATGGGTTATGGAGGAGCTGGAACAGGAAGCAGATTTGTGAGAGCTGGGGAAGGTGTGGCTCTCCCCAGAACTATACGTGTGCATGTGCACCAACCAGTACAGCCCTTCTGTGGTGTTGAGGTTTTAGCCCTCTGAAGCCGAGTGGGAACCCTCCCCCCAGGTCCCTACTGACTAGCCCTCCCCCTTACAGACTCAGATGCCACTGCATCCTCAGATAACAGTGAGACAGAGGGGACACCCAAGTTGTCTGACACACCAGCCCCCAAGAGGTAAGAAGCCAGCATTCTTGGAGGTGGGAGGAGCTGGCCTCGCTGCCTCTGACCCTCTCCCCTGTCCTTTCTCCAGGAAGAGAAGCCCTCCACTGGGAGGTACCCCTTCCCCCTCCAGCCTCTCCCTGCCTCCTTCAACAGGGTTTCCTCTTCAGGCTTCTGGGGCCCCCTCCCCATATCTGAGCTCGGTGAGTTGGGGTCAAGGATAGAAAGTGGTGGGCTAAGATGTCTGGGAATGAGATGGGTGTCTGGGAAGGGGGGATAGGCCTTGGGGTGAGGCCGCCCACCTCTGGGAGCATTTGTCCAGGTACGGCCAGCAAGTGTCCCTTGGAGGGTGTGAGTCGGGACTGCCCACTTCTCTCTTGTGTAGGAACAGGGGACTGACATGACTAAGGAGAGCAGACCAGGACACAGTCCTGCTGCTGTCCCTCCCCTCTATTAGGAACCTGGGAGCCATACTCATCACCATCTCTTTTGTTTTTCCATTCTTCCTCCTGTTTGCATTTCTTCCCTTCACCCCTCACCTTGACCCACTCCATTTCCCATCTCCATTTCCCACTCCCACCAGCAGCTGGCCTCCCCCCCTTATCCCCCATTCCCTTCTGACTACCTGGCCCTGCAGCTGCCCGAGCCCAGCCCCCTGAGGCCCAAGCGGGAGAAACGGCCCCGCCTGCCCCGGAAACTCAAGGTACCCTGATTTGGGGATGTTAGGGAGGGGCCACAACAGCAGGAGGACGGCCATCTGAGGGAGGCTCAAGATGGGCTGGGGGCCTGTCCAGGAACTTTGAAAGATGGATTTGGGAGTGTGAGGGCCCAGCCCAGGGCAAGGCATTGAGGGGCAGCGCAGAGAAATCCTGGTTCACAGGTTCCTCATGGAGACAAATCCAGGCATGGTCAGCCTTGCCAGACTGGGAGTGAAGAGGCCCAGGATTCTGCCTTTGTAGGGTGGCCAGAGTAAGGCACATTTTCACAGGTTTTGAGTGCTGTATGATGCCAGGCAACCACAGGGGAGACAGAATTGTGGGAGGTAGAATGCAGTCAATGCTGCTCCAGTTAAAAACCATAGTAATTAGGCTGGGTGCATGACTCACACCTGTAATTCCAGCTACTTAGGGGGCAGAGATCAGGAAGATCGCACTTTGAGGCCAGCCCAGGCAAAAAGTTAACGAGATCCCTGTTTCAGACAACAAGCCAGGTGTGGTAGGCTGTAGCTAGGAGGACTATAGTCTCAGACCAGCCCCAGGCAAAAATGCAAGGGTCTACCTGAAAAATGACTAAAACAAAAGGGGGTTTGGGGGTATAGTTCAAGTGGTAGAGGGTCTGCCTAGCAAGTACAAGGCCCTGAAAAAAAAGCACAGTACTCAGAGCAGGTCTTTTCAACCCCGTAAGCCTCTTGGATTCTGCATCTGTGAAGTCATTGATCAGACTAGGCCTGGCCAGAGTGCTGCAGTTCAATAGTGAACAAGGCAGACAAATGCCGGCCCTTCAGGAGTACAGAAGATAAACAAGAGGAACAAGTCCCAGTGGAGAAAACTACAGTCAAGGAAAGAGGGTCAGAATTTGGGTGGGTGGTCTATGATATGAGAGTAAGCCATACTGCTCTCTAGGAATGTGTTTCAGTCAGGGACAACAGGGTAAAGGCCCTAGGGAGCAAGCTTGGCTTGTTCAAGGACCTGATGGGAGAGAAATGGGAGGGGCGGGGTAAGAGAGCAAGTCAGAGACTTAGCACCTGACAGACTAGGGAGCTAGGTTCTGGGAAGACCTGGGCTTAGATTGGAGGAAGGTAAGCAGGGCGGGATCTGTTAGTTACATTTTAGTATCTGCACAGTAAAGAGGAGCCTGGTGCAGGGGCCAGGGGTGAGTCAGAATGGCAGTGAAGAGGTGACTGCAGGAAACCCAGCAGTGGTGGAGGGTGTGCAGAGGACCAGGAATCCATCTTGAAGAATTGGAGACTAGCTGTGCCTGTGAGAGGGGGAGAAGAGCCCAGGAAGAGTCCAAGTCTCTAGCCTGAGCATCCAGAGAAGTAGAGTGACCTTTTTTGGAATACAATGGGAGGAGCAGGCTCTGGAGGGAAGAATGAGGATTTGGCCTTGGAGGCCCTCTGGAAATGCCAACCAGACAGCTGCATATGTGAACCCAGGGCTCGCAGAGGTTCATACTTGGAAGTCCTTAGTAAGAGGGAAGACACCTGAGCATGGAGCCCCTGGAGCAATGAGGAGGAGTCAGCCTGAGATACAGAAAGGCCCAGTGCCTATCAGCTGGACAGCAAAGTTGAGTAGGGATTCAGCTGGACAGCCCTCGGGGCTCTGAAACCAGAAGCATAATGGGAGGTTGTGTTTGTAGTGGAGAAGAATGTGGCTTCTGAAGGCTGAGATGTAGCTCAGTTATAGAGCTTTTGCCTAGCATGCACCATGCTGTGGATTTGATCCCAAATACTGAAAAAATAAAAATACTGGCCCCTGCTGAAGGTTTTGCTTCTGATCTGTAGGGCAGGAAGGTAGAGAAGGCAAGTGACGGGACAACAAGAAACAGACAGGGAAGTGAGGCATGGCATAGACATGGGCAATCTGAAGCTTTCTGGTTGGTGCTGTGTCCAAAAGTACGATGTCAGGGAAGTAAGTTCCGAATGCACACAACTTAGTTGCATCTTGGAAGAGGGCCTGAGTCAATTGCTGTGTTGCAGAGAGCAATCAGGGAAGAGACAGGCTCAAGGAAGAGGTAACATTCATCCTGAGGCAGTAGCAGGAAGGGAGACAGACACTGTGGGAAGTGTCTGGGCTGCAGCTGGAATGACAAGAGAGAAGTGTTAGAAAGTAAAGTGGAGTAGACTGGGATTATAGAAGGCCTAGTAGCCCAGATCAGAAGATGGCTTATCACAGTTAGGGAAGTGAGTGCCCCTGAAATTTATGGGTAAGAGAGATGGGAGGTGGCAAGTGTGAGCAGAGGTGGGACACTTAAGGCTTCTGCAGGATGCTTAAGAGCTAAGGCCTGAGCCAGGTGCAGTGGTGTACACCTACAGTCCCAGTGACTAGGGAGGCTGAGGCAGGGGGATCACTTGAACCTGAGTTCAAGACCAGCCTGAGCAACATAGTGAGCCCCCATCTGGGGCCTGGTGTAGCTCAGTGGTAGAGCATATGGTTTTGATCCCCAGTACCACAAAAAGAAAAAGAGCTGGGGCCTTAGCCTTAGCTGGGTTTGAATCCCAGCTTTTCCTTATTTTCATCATGTGACCTGACTGGGCATATCAGTGAACTCTGTGAGCCTCTTTTCTCCACTCGGGGTCATGTGAAACCAAAATGAGTGAAGAGTAAAGAGTACAGCCCACTGCCTGGGCCCTAGCAGGCCACAGAGCTGCATTGGGTGCTCTTGATCACACTGGGGTGGCTGTTGAAGAAGTCTAGGTGAGGGTAGGACATGGGGAACAGGGTGGGGGTTGAGATGTGACAGCCAGAGAAGGGAACAGTCCTCATAGATCTGTCTTCAGTTGTGCATGTGTGTCTGCTCCTGTATGAACATGTGAGACCTGGTACAGGCTGCTTTTCAGAGCTGACTGTCTGCCATCCATCCTAGCAGGCCCTGTGCCCTGAGGCCTGACCGCTGTAGCGACCCCCCCTCCCACATCACCCCACAAACAGAGGTGCAGGTAGAGCTTCTTGAGAAGCAGAGAACAAGCTATGGGGCCAAGTGTCAAAGCCATCAGGAGGGCCATGGTGGATACCACACATAAGTGTTTCCTGCCATCCCAGCCCAGGGCCACAATGGGCACTGCCCAGCAGGGACCTAGCAGCCCTGTTCCTTAACTTCTGTTTCCAAGTCTCAGCTCCCTCCTCTGACAGACAACCCTTCCTTCCTCCCAGATGGTCTGAGAGATTGGGGATCATTGGTAGAAATCACGTGGTGCACAGTAGGTACTCAGTTTGTGCTCACAGCACGAGAGCTGTGCCGGCAACCCAGAAAGCTCTGTGGGAGGGTTTGTGAGGACCTGCAAGGGTGGAGCTGGAAAAGGAGGAGGCCTGCATTCCAGCCTCAGGACAAAGGAGGACTGTGACAGATAGAGATGAATGCTCCAGGTGGAAGGCCAGCCTGTCATCAGGCACGCTGCATTGCCTGTCCCGTGGTGGAGGAGTGACATGCTCAGGTTTGTGTTCTAGAGCGATCACTCTGGCTGCAGTGTGGAGGAGGAGCTGGATCTGGGAGAGGCTGAAGGCAGGGAGTCCAGTTAGAGGCTGGTACCTAGCACAGGTGAGCTGAGAGGAGGGCCTGGCCTAGGCAAGCAACTGTGGGGATTCCAAGGAGGGGCCCATCATCCAAGTTGTAATAGAAGCCTCTGGGGGGCAAAGAAGCCACGCAGCCTCCTGGCTCGGGTGGCTTGTGATAACCCTCTATAGAGCCAGGAGTCTAGTAGGAGGAGAGAGTGGAAGAGGAGGAACAGCCAGTGGTGCCAGGTGGTACCTGAGGTGCCCAAAGGCAGGAGGTAGGCACTCCTTACTGGCTCTGACTCTGGCTTTAAGTGCTGTTCCAGGGCAACCAGGGTGCCTCACTGGAGAGGGCAGGACCCAGCCTTTCCATCCAGTTTCCTGTCAGACCCCACCACCACACCCCCTCATCTCCCCTCCATCACTGCCCTCACCCCCAGGCACTTGCTGGCTTGAGACTCTGAAGGGCTGAGGTGGGGTAGGCCCTGATCACAGCATTGTCCCTTCCCCACCCTCACCCCCAGTGCCCAGCCTCCTGAAGCCCCATACCCCTGTGTTTCTGACAAGCCCTCCCTGTGTTTCTTCCCCCTTTTGCAGATGGCGGTGGGACCCCCTGACTGCCCTGTGGGCGGGCCGCTGACATTCCCTGCCCGGGGTCCTGGGGCTGGGGTTGGGGCAGCCCTGACACCCCTGCCCCCGCCCAAGATGCCTCCACACACAATCCTGAGCACCGTCCCTCGGCAGATGTTCAGTGATGCAGGCAGCGGGGATGATGCCCTGGATGGGGACGATGACCTGGTGATTGACATCCCAGAGTGACCACCCAGTGCCGTCTGTCAAGCCCCTCCCAACACCCCTATCCATGCCAGCACATAGAGCCCAGCTTCCTCAGAGGTGTTTATTGATGCCCAGTGCCGTGCTTTGGCCACTGACACAATCAAAAAAGGCATAAACATGCACGAATGTCCCCCAGGAAGGTGGCAGGGGCACTCCCCTCACATCCCAACCCCTGCTAGGGGACAGTTATTTAAACGAGTGGCCAGGGGCATCTGCCATCTCTTAGGGAGGCAGAGACCCTGTGGTGTGGCCACCCCTTTAAAAGGGCAGCTGTTACAGGGCTAGGACTTTTTTTTAAATGAAGATTCTGTATTAAAGGATTGGCTCTTGTTTTTTTTTCTTGTCCTTTTTCAGAAACATTCTCCTCCAAACCTCCCCTAATCCGACCTCCTCCTCGTGGGGTGGGGCCGGGGCAGCCTGGAGAGGCAGGAGAGAGCAGCAGCAGGGCAGGCAGGGTGCCAGCGGGGCTTCTGCCAGTGTGCATGGGGTGGTTTTGCATATTTGCAGGTAACAGCGAGTCAGGCAGAAGGAAGTTTGCATATGTGAATATAGATCTCCACAGTCCCTCACAAGAAGACAGACCCACAGTCACGGAGATGCTCACAAAAATAAGACAGTTAGTGCAGGGCAGGGGCATCCTACCCCATGTAAACGTGCAACACAGTCGTGCGAAGATTGGGTACTGGCCCCAGCCCAGGGCGCCCATGCTGGACAATTGCTGTTCACTCAGGCCGAGGGCAGAGCCCCAGCCGCGGGGGGTAGCTCACTGGTCAGGGTGTGCCAGCGCTCCAAGGCTGTGTCTGGCTGCTGCAGACAGTCACTCCAGTGCTTCCGGGCCTCTCCTCGGGCACCTGGCCCCAGAGACACACCACCTGGAGAGCAGGCCAAAAAGACAGGGTCAGTCAGGGGCCTGCTTCCTGCTGGTCAGCCCTCAGATTGCTTAGGCTCCTCCCCTCACCTATGAAGTCGTTGGATTTCCCAATGTCATAGTCCCAAACTGTGACTTCCAGAGTCTTAGTGGCCAGGGTGGAGAGCTCCATCTCATAGAAAAACTCCTAAGGAGAAGATGAGTAGTGTCTCCCTGAGGCCCTCTCCAACCCTACCCCAAACCACCTTAATTTCCAGTCCCTGCCATGGTTATGTAACCTCATTAAATTCGGGGTTTAGAGTCTTCTTCTTCACACATGTCTTGTGCTTGGATCTCTTATCCACATCTGGTCTCAAGTACCTGGGCGAGAGGCAAGAGCATATGCTTAGGGACAGGACAGGCCCCCTAAGTAAGCTGCTGGGGTCAGGCTCCTAGGGGAAGAAAGAGAGGGCCCCAGGTTGAGGACTCACGTCTTAACATAAGGATCAGAGTAGCCGTTGACATCCATGGCGGCCAGGTGGGCACAGCGAATGACACCCACCAGCAGCCCCCTGCGACGAGAGCTGTAGTTGAGTCTCAACAGGATGCGCCCACGCTCTTCCAGCAGCCCAGGGCCCTGTTCTGCCTGCTCTAGCTGCAGGAGACAGACATGGGTCAGCCTGGGTCCTTTGCCTCCCACCGAGAGAGGGGCCCTGTAAGTTGCCTCACCTCCTTCAGGTAACAGGAGATACCTCTCAGGGCCGCAGACATGGAAGAGGGTGAAGCCAGCTGAGGGAGAAAAAGAGAAGGTTCTGGCAATCTAGCCTCCCCAGGGACCCCTCCCCCTGCAGCCCCCACACCAACCGGGACCTGGCGCTCGAGGCAGATGTTAAAATGCTTCTTTTGTGAAGGCTTGAGGCGGCGGAGGGGCACTCGAATCTCCCCGATAAACTCATTGTGGCTCAGCTTGTCCTCGTCACAGACAGAGATCCTGGTGGGGAACTGCAGGGTCAGGGCCCCTGGGTACCTGGGCCCTGCTCTGGTGTGAGAGAAAGTTCCTCAGACCAGTCCTAGCTCTGCCCTAACTCTCTCTACCTCATCTATAAGATGGACTGGAGCTTCAAAAAGACAACTGGATTTGGTCAATCTCTGCCCCAGGCTGTCCCGGGCCAGCAGGACCTGCTCAACTACTAAAGGAAGTCCTCACAAATCTGGGGACTGCCCCCATTTCAGCCCTGGAGACAGGAGCTGATGGATCACCATAGGTGTGTGTGGTAGGTGTGGCCACGGATGCAGCAGTGACCATTGAACCAGCTGCAGGGTAGCCAAATAAGTAGCCCTCACTCCCAGAAGCTCCCCTGTCCTCTTTCGCCTGGAGCAAAGAGCCAGCTGGCAGAGCTGAAACCCACCAGTTAGGAAGAACTGCCTTTGCTTCCCTTCACCCCCTTCTGTAGCCAGCTGCGGAGGCCTGTTGAGATCCCAGCTCTGCCACTTAGTAGCTACCTGTGTGACCTTGGGCAAGTCACTTCACCTTTCTGAGCCTTGAGACCCATCTGCAGTGTGCAGATTACCCATACCCACCTCCTAAAGCTTTTGTGAGGGTGAAAGAAAGGTAAGAGGGCTTCCTACTGAGTTCCTTTAGGACTCACTCACAGTGAGACTGGGGCCAGCCTTTCTGGTGTCTGCCTCTGCCCCTCCCTCCCCCAGCCCCAAGGTGATCTCTAAAACAGCCCTGATCAAGTCCCTTGCCTGACACAAACTTTCTGTGGCTCCCTATTGCTCAGGAACAAAGGAAGAGGTCTCTCTCCAGCCTGAGTTTTGCTGCCCTCCACTACCCTTGAGGGATCCTCTCCCCACATCCCCCTATGCTGGGGTGACAGCAAGTTCCCTGACCCCAAAGACTTCCCTCTTCAGATATTAGGGGGACAGGATGGGCAGGGTAAGGTGCATAAGTGTGACTTCAGTCAGGGGCTCTGAAAAGAAGTCTCACTGAGCAGGAAAAGCTTCCCAGAGGCTGATCCTGGACTGAGCCTCACGTGAGGGACTGAGGTTGGCAGAGAGGAGCACTCCAGGTGGAAAAGACATAGCAGGCAAAGGTCAGTAGTTGTGAAGTTGACAGAAGTCAGTCCCCTCTGAGGAGCAGTAAGATACACTGGAGCCTCAATGGCAGGGAACTATTCTGGCTGCTGCTGAAGGAACTAGGAGCCACTGATTGGTCCTTGAGCATGGTGGAGGTAGGGGACGGAGGGAGATGAATCAACCAAAGGTTACAATGGCAGCTGTCCCAGAGGAGGTGCTGGGCTAGAACCCTGGGCAGCAGGGAGGAGGAACCCGCACCTGAGCACCTTGTGAGTGATGTCGTCGTCTGTGATTCCACTGTATGTCAGATCCTCGTTCCACACAGGATTCAGCGTGTTTCTCTGTGTCTTTGTTTTTAGCTTGTTGGCCTGGGATGTGGGAATGAAAGGTACTGAGGCATATCCCTCAGGCCTCCAGAGGCTGAAGTTAGGGGCTGGGAGAAGCTGGGACAGACCCATTCCTGGCCAGGCAGGGAGAGGAGCCAGAACCTGGAAGAGGAGTCTTACCTTGCAGGCTCCAGGCAGAAGGTGCAGCTTAACGTAGGGGTCAGCCAGGCCGTTGAAATCCATGGGCTTCAGGCCCTGGAGGAGAGGATGCACAGAGGGCAGTGGGCTCCCAGCCCTTCTCCCTCCCTCTGAAGGGCTGAGACACACACCTCCTCCCAAGTGGGAAGGGGGTAAGAGTGCCAGGGAGGGGAAGGAACAGGGGCCTGCCCTTGGGGAAGGAGGATGGAACCCAGCAGGGTCAGGGCCTGAGCGGCAGAGGCTCACCTTGGCCCTGAGGATTCGACAGTGCAGCGTGCAGGAAGCCTGATCATAGAGGAGATCAAACTCCAGGGTGCCCAGAGCGGCTGCAGAAGAGGGGAAGGTGGTGTGAGTGCATGCCAAGACAGGTGTGTGCAAGAGACAGTGGCCAGCACTGGATATGCGTGTCCATGTCTTTGTGGACCTGCAAGTGTGTGTGCAGGAGGCTGGGCGGGCGTGTGCGTGCTCGAGTCTGGGTCCCCGACTTGGCCAACTGGGACTGTGTGGGTGGTGGAGTGTCTCAGCAGAAATATTGAATATTGAGCCTTGCTGAAGCATAATCTCCACCAGGACTGCAGCTGTGGCGGCAGGACCTGTCCCTCCTCCCCGACCCTCATGCACACCCAGCAAGCATCCCCTAAGCCCTTCAAAGCCCCCAGACTCACTAGTATCATCCGAGTCATAGCTGTCCACCTCAGCTCCGTCCTCAGGAGTGGCTGCTCCAAGGAGAGCAGCAGGGGGGGCCAGAGCCAGGGGGCCGAGGTGGGCTGGGGCCTCCCCACTGCCCCCACCGCCCCCTTCAGGCCCAGGGCCACGGCGGCGAGGGAAGTAGTCGGAGATCTGGCGGATGGGCCGGATGGGCCCAGGGCACACGTTGATGGCCATGTGCTCCTGGATGCTGATGGTCATGCGGTCGCCCCTGCGGCCCCTCATGCAGCACCCCTGGCTGGGGAAGGGGGAGCCAGCACTGACTCCTCACACCTGGTGGGGAGGCCCAGGGTGGGCGCACCCTCCCTTGGAGGTGTCAAGGGAGAGGGTGACCTGTGCCGGTTGGCTCGTAGTCAGGAGGCCTGAGCCCTCCAGACCCAGCAGCTGCCTTCTCAGGCTGGACTGCCAGGCTACTGCTGGCAGCCAGGTTCCCCTTCACCTTGCCCACCTACCTCTGGATTGTACCTTTGTTATCGTCCAGTAATTTGCTGTTATCCAGGGCTCCAGTCTTCCCCTGAGCCCCATAAACCCCAGAGCGCCCGGGTAGGTCCCCACCTCTGTGGCTCTGAGGCTGTAGCCGGCCTCTGCACCAGTCGCTGGTTTAGCCAGGGTGACACAATCCCCACGGGGCTTCCACTTTCCACTGACCCTCCACTCAGCCCCAGAATCTGTCTGCCTTGCCTGGGCCCCCTTGCCGCAATCCCCGCAGCCCAGGGCGGGGACCCCTGCCTCGGATGCCTCCTCTTGAGCGTGGCTCCCCAGGGGAGCCAGAAATGCAGCCGCAGGAGAGCTGAACGCCTCCGGAGCACACAGCCTACCGCGTTCGCCCTCGCCCTGCCGCCCCCGGCCGGCCCAGCCCCTGCACCTGTGTCTGTGCCTCCAACAGGTGCCCGGGCTCTGGGCAGCCGGCGGGCGCAGGCTGGGCGGCGGCGGGCGATTCCCAGGGCGGCCGGCGACAGGAGGAGTCCGGCTGTGTGCGCCGACAGAGAGAGAGAGAGACAGGGAGCGCAGAGAAAGTGCGGGAGGAGGGGGTGAGCGGGGTGCAGGCGCCGAAGCCGCCGGGCGCGGGCGAGGGGCGGGGAGGGGCGCGGGGCTGCGGAGGGGCGGGACTCTCGGCTCCCACTGGCCGCGCGCCACGCGCCCGCCTGGGCACTCCGGAGCGCACGCGAGTGCACACCCAGACACGTGTGCTCGCGCTCACACACACGCACGGCCACGCGGGCGGGCACACACGCGTGTGCACGCAGGCTGGCACTTGCATCCCAGCCTGGGCACTCCCGTGCGCACACGCCTTGTGCCCACGAGTGCAAGCTCACACACACACACGCATCAACGCAGACACGCGCAGGCACACTCACCCGAGAACTTCGCATACACACGCTCGCCACCACGCGGGCTCCCTGCGCCACCAAGGAACCAACAGCGAGAATTGCCGGGTGTTTCCCAACTCCTCCCCAGAGACCCAGGTCGCCGCCGCGCAGAGCCCACAGCCTCCCTGCCTCTCGCTTTCTCCTTCCCTGGCTCCCAGGTCTCCAGGGCCGGACCACCAGCCTAGTTGCCATGGCAACACTGGATCATTTCTCCCCCCCCCCAACCCCCGCACTGCACAAGCCTCACGCCCCTCCCCAGCAGAGAGCACGAGAATGAGGGAAGAGGGCGTCTGTCCTCCCGCTCTGGGTCCGAAGGAGCGGGGCTTAGAGATCCGCAGTGACTTGGGGTCGGCCAGGGGAAGGGGGTCTGATCGCTTGCCCGCGCTAGCCGGGCATCCGGGGTCTCGGAGCCGAGCTGGGGAACCTCACTGTCTGAGGAAGGACATGGAGGCTAAGAGTGGCTTCCCCAGGCCTCCCTTGACCGTTCAGCTACTGTCCTTGTGACTAACCCAGTCCCCGGTTTGGCGTCTCCTTCTCAGGGAAGGCATCCCCGATGGGAATCCACCCTCCCACTCCACCCCTGCCATCTCCAGTTCTGCCCCTCAGGTGAGGAGGGACTGGAGGCTCGGTCCTGAACGCCCCCAAACCCTGCAGTAATGAGGAGCTTCCGGGCCTGTCCCATACCTGACTCCTGCCTCACCCCTAGCCTTTGATCTTGGCTTTCACTGGCCCCAAACGTCTGCTCTAGGAAAGACCAAGTTCTTACAGAGGCCTCCAAGGCCCCTCAGACCAAGGTCTCAACATCCTCTCTGCCCACCCCAGGCTGGCTATGGTTCCTGGCAGTTCCAGAGCACAGCTGCCTCAGTCTTTCAGACCTTCCGGCCTTTGATGGGGCACACTCCTTCACCTCTGAGACCAACCCTTCTTTCAGAGGTCGTCCAGGGTCGGGTCACCATTCCTAGGAGCCTTCCTGGAGCTCCCCTGCAGCCCCCTTCCCCTGGGCCCCTCAGCTCCCTAGACACCCAGATTCCTCTGCTGACAGTTTTGCTGGTGTCTGTTTCTGTCTCATCAGCCAGGGAGTTCCACAGCAAGCAGGGGCTGACTCATCTGAGTCCTAAGTGCCCCCCACTGGACCTGGCATTGCAGCCTCACTAAATATTGACTTAAAAGATGGAACTGTGGGGCTGGGGCATGGCTCAAGTGGTAGAGTGCCTGCCTGACAAGTGCAAGGCCCTGAGTTCAAACCCTAATACCACCAAAAAAAATTTTTTTTAAAGATGGCTATGGGTAACATTAACTGTACACTTAAAAATGGTTGAGGGCTGAGGGTGTAGCTCAGTGGTAAAGTCCTGGGTTCAATCCCCAGCACCTAAAAAAAAAAAAAAAAAAAAGAGAAGTTAACATGGTACATTTTGTTATGGGTAAATATGTGTTTCTATTTTATCACAATTTTTTAACAAGAGAAACGCAAAGTCAAAATATACTGAGAACCACCCCATAACATGAGGTGGCAAGGCTGTGGGAAGGTAAGCACAGCTTCTCCAAGCCTGGTCTGACAGTGGATACCAAGATGACAAATGCACCTACTCTTTGAGTCTGAAACTCCACTTCTAAGACCTTATCCTTTAGACATTCTGACCCATGTGCAAAATAATAGAAGTTCCAGGTTCTTTTTTTTTTTTGGTGGTACAGGAGTTGGAACTCAGGGCCCCACATTTGTTAGGCACTTTACTACTTGAGCCACTCCACCAGTCCTATTTGTGTTGGGTATTTTTTAGATAGGGTCTCTTGAACTATTTTCCCCAGCTGGCTTCAAACCATGACCCTCTCAATCTCTGCCTTCTGAATAGCCACCAGTGCCTGACTAGTCAAGGTTCTCAATTGCAGCTTGTTCCAAAGGATGGAAACAACTGCACCATCCATAAATAGGGGGCTGGTTAAATCAGTTATGGCATGAGGTCTTACAATGAAATAGTATGCAGCCATGAAAAAGGAAGCTCTTATGTAGGTGTACAGAACCATCTCCATACTCTCATTCTAACTTCTAAAAGCAAGGTACAGACCAGGACATATGGAATGCTGTCATTTGAAGAAAAAAAGAGCTTATGTATGTTCATTTGTCCATAAATTATTCTCAGAAGGCTGCACAAGAAAATGGTAACTATGGCGACCTCTGAGGAGGTTGCTGTCAGGCAGAAAGGGAAATAACATCTTTTGTACCTTTTAAATTTTGTGCCATGTGCACATTACCTATTCCAAAGGATAGTGTGCCTGTGTGTGTGCACACGCTCGAGCCAGGAATGAAACCCAAGACCTTGTGCTTGTTAGGCAAACGCTCTACCACAGAGCTATGGCCCCAGCCTTTAAATACTTCTTGAATATCTGCTGTACACTGTAGTAAGGCAATAATAACCAAGAGTAGCAGTCTGCTACTGAGTAGCCCTGCAGGAGACACACAAGTACACACACAATTCCGAGCCATGAGGCCAGTGCCCTGGCGGAGGCTGGTCATCACCTCCGGGAGTTTGCGCTGTCCCAAAACACACTCCAGAGGCAGAGGAGGCATTGTCTCAGCTGAGACCTGAAAGATGTGGAGCTAGCCAGGTCCAATGCGGGGCAAGAGGTTCCTAGGCAGAGTCTTCTATCTCCAAAATTATCAGAGCAAAATGGACTGAAGGACTGGCTCAAATGACAGAGCGCCTGCTTTGCAAGCGTGAAGTCCTGAGTTTAAACCCCATTCTCACCAAAAAGAAGAAAGAGGAGGAAGAGAAGAATCTAGAATGAGGCTGGGCACAGTGGCCTATAATAACCCTAGTTACTCAGGAGACAGGGACAGGATCCTAGGAGTTAACTTGGGACAAAGTTAGCAAGATCCTGTCTTTCAAAAACAAAAGGGCTGGGGGCATGACTCAAGTGGTAGAGCTCTCGCAAGGCCTTGGGTTCAATCTCAGGACTGCAAAAAATTAAAAAAATAAAAAGTCGAATAAGCTGGGCAGGCCGGTGCACACCTGTGACCCCAGCACTGTGAAGGCAGAGGCAGGAGGCCCTCCAGGCCCTCTTAATGAGATCCTGTCTCAAAGAAACATTTTCAATTAAAAAAAAGAGAAAAGGAGTCAGGCACCAGTGGCTCACACCTGCAATCCTAGCTACTCAGGAGGCAGAGATCAGGAGGATCACGGTTCAAAGTCAGCCAAAGTCAGCCAGGGCAGATAGTACCTGCCCACCAGCCAGAACCAATCAGAACACGTGTCCACTCCAAACACTCCAGTGGCTTCCCGTTGCTCCTGGTATTAATTCTCACCTTTACCTGCAAGACCCCTGATGGTCAGCCCCTGTCCACCTCAGCTCTCCCCCTGCTATCCCTCCTTCAGCGTATTCCAGCCACTCTGGCTTTGGTCCACTCTAAATGTCCAAGTACCCAGATGGTCCTCTCATCCCAAAGTCACACTCTCCTCAGCCTCCTCCCCCAGCCCTGCTCCCCTCCCCAGAGACAGTCCTGGGAGGAGGATGAGACAGCACAGTACGGACTTAGTTTACATTGGCGAAGAGATTAGGAAGGGTAGCTAAAGGGTTAAGAAACTACAGGCTGATATTTCATCAAGAAGCCCCTACTGAAAACCCCCCTGGAAACTCAGCAGAACAACAACTGACATGGCAAGAAACATCTGCTCCAAGACCACAAGGTCACTTCCCTTTAGTATTGTCCTGGTTGTCCTCCATCTATAACTCCCTCGCCCCGTGATGCCCCTATCCACCACTAAATAAAGCATGGTCTGGTCTGTACAGGTCTCGGACTCTCACTTACTCCCTTCTCTCTCTGAACTGCCCCTCACGGTTGTTTTTTTCTAACAGTAGCTCTCATTTGGATCTTAATACCAAATATCCAGCCATATTACCAGCCCCATTCTTCAAATCATTTCCTCCACTACCAAACCGCTTGGCCCTTACACCATCCTTATCCCTCCAGCAGCCCTCTTCAAGTTCTCGCCAGCCCCAACCTGTCCCCTGAGTTCCCCTGGGCTGCAGACTCCTGAACCCATGAGCTCTCGGCAGGGCACCCCCGAAGCACTCTGGGGAGTGCCCTGGGGAAGGCTGTTATGAATCTGACGTTTTTCACATGAGGAGAGATACAGGCTGGGGCTAGGGAGGTGGTGGAAAAAGGTTTTACTCCCAGGTCCACAGCCTCTAATGTTCCTTCGTCCCCCAACAACCTCTTCAGAATTTCACCAGGAGTTTCAAAACTCCCGGGGACAGGGCTTTCTAGCTTTGCACTCTTGGCTGCTGCACTTTAGAGTTCCCAGGTTGGCAACTTTCTATTCCAGCTCAAGGCTGCTTGGCATGAGGCCATGAGGTGAGGTGGCTGCTGGGTGACCTTGTCCTGTAGCTCAGAGGCGGTCAGCATCTCCTTCACACCCTTCACTGAGTACTGGTAGAAGTTCTTTTTTTTTTTTTTTTTTTGAAGGCACTGGGGTTTGAACTCAGGGCCTCCTCATGTTTGCTAAGCAGGTGCTCTATCACTTGAGCCACTCTGCCAGTCCTGTTTTGTGACTGGTTTTCCTGAGATAGTGTCTTGTGAACTATTTACCTGGGCTGGCTTCGAACCTCAATCTTCCTGATCTCTGCATCCCATGTAGCTAGGATTACAGGTGTGAGCCAATGACACCTGGCTCTGGTAGAAGTTCTTGATGAGGGTCTCAATTGCCCTCTTCCCATCACTGAGTTCCTGGGCATCTCAGTATTGGCTGATGGAGAGAGTAGCCTGTGATGCCTGGTGCACTTGGTCCTTTGGTGAGAGTTTTGTCACCCTACAGCCTGCCCCACAGGAGCTGATGGCTCAGGATTGCTTGCTGGAAGCAGCTGAGACAGGACTGGCTCTTTTTTTTCCCCCCCTTTGGTACCAGGGTTTGAACTCAGGGCCTACACCTTGAACCACTCCACCAGCCCTTTTTGTGAAGGGTGTTTTCAAGATAGGGGCTCACGAACTTTTGCCCAGGATGGCTTCGAACCATGATCCTCCTGATCTCTGCCTTCTGAGTAGCTAGGATTACAGACGTAAGCCACAGGTGCTCAACTGAGACTGGATCTTAAGTCCACACTTATTCTAGTCAAGCCAAAGGCTGATGCAATAAACCAGATAAAATAGGGCCTTGGCTTGAACAAGAAGGGCCTGGAGTTGGAGGAGTAAGCAGACTTGAGATTTCTGTTGGAAATTGAGCCAACAGGTGTTCATTTGGGGCCTGTTAGGTAAGATGGGGGAGGTCTGAGTTGATTTCCAGGTTTCTGTGTTGAGCAGAACATCTAGAGGAGTGGAGGCACTATCTGATGAGGTAAAAAGACAAGAGAAGGAGTTGGTTTGGAGTAAGAACTAAGAGCCTCCTTTGGGATCTGCTGCGTTTGAGGTGTTTTTGGACACATAGAGACATCATGCAGGAAGTTGGCTATAGGAGTCTAGAGCTCCAAGGAGAGGTTTGGAATGGAAATATACATTTGTGAGTCACCAGCATATAGATGGTATTTAAAGCCACGAGACTAGATGAGATCACCTAGGAAGAAAGGATGGAGATAGAAAGAGAAGACCCAAGGCTGAGCTGGCAAGAGGAAGCTTGAAAATCGGTGAAGGTGGCTCCTGGCTGGAGATAGAAAGAGAAGACCCAAGGCTGAGCTGGCAAGAGGAAGCTTGAAAATCGGTGAAGGTGGCTCCTGGCTGAGCTCAGAGCCAGGGAGAGGGGCATCGTGGTGAGAGAGGGAATGAAAAGAGAAGTAACCACCACATTTAGCAAATTAAGAGGCCATTGTTGGGCTGGAGGTATGGCCTAAGCGGTAGAATGACTGACTGCCTTCAAAGTTCCAAGCCCTCAGTTCAAAACCCAGTGCCACCAAATAGAACAACAAAAAAGAGGACATTGTTGACTTGACCAAAGTAGCTCTTGTGGAGTGATGGGGACAAAGTCGTGTGAGAAGAGGTTGAGGGGTGAGACAGCAAGGGTAGGACTCCCCATATGCATTGTTGGCTCTAAAATTATGTCCTCCCATGAATTCTCTCTCCCATGATCCCTGAGGGAAGAAACCATGTCTGTCTAAGCCATAAATGGAATACAGCCCACAACGTGGCTGGAGCACAAATGCATTCATTTAATGGTTTGAAGATTGGATGAATGGATAATCCACTGCCTGACTCAAAAGGGCCTTGTCCGGCGTATTCTTGTTAGGTTTGGGTTTTTGGTTTTGTTTTGGTCTTTGGTGGTACTGAATATTGACCTCCTGAGTGGCTGAGATTACACATATGACCACTATGCCCAGCTCCTTTGTTTTTGAGACAGGGTCTTGCTATGTAGCCCAGACTGGCCTCAAACTTGAGATCCTCCTGCCTCAGTCTCTTGACTACTAGGATCACAGGTGTGTGCCACCAGGCATTGCTGGTGCTTTTTGGTTTTTGTTTGTTCCGCCCCCCACCAGGGTCTTATGCATGCTAGGCCACACCCTAGCTCTTCTGTATTCTTTTTTTTTTTTTTTTTTCCCCGGTAGTACTACAATTTGACTCAAGGCCTACACATTGAGCCACTCCACCAGCCGTTTTTTGTGAAGGGTTTTTTGAGATAGGGTCTTTCGAACTATTTGTCCAGGCTGGCTTCAAACAATGATCCTCTTGATCTCTGCCTCCTGAGTAGTTGGGATTACAGGCGTGAGCCACCAGCTCTGCTATATTCTTTTGAGGTGATTAAGGAAGTTAAAACCTCAGTGCCCCCCCACCCCCAAAAATAACAAAAAGGAAAAACGGAAGAAAAGGGAAAACCAAACTAAACAAACAAACAAACCCTCAGCCCCAAAAGCCACAGACCAGTGAGGAGAGCATCTTCATGCAGGCCAGGGTGCACACAATGCCCCTTTCTGCATCCTGTGCCCCGGGACAAGTCACTGGAAGAGATAAGGAGATCACATCCCCGTTAGTTTCCCTTCTCTTTTCCCCATCTTTTTTCTCCCTGGGTTTTTCTGATTGTGGCAAGCATGCCCTAGGATTGCTATGAAGGGAACAGGTGGGCTAGCATTTGTGACCCGAGGGCAGGAAAGGTAGAAAGGGATCCAGTGGAGGAAGGAGCCACGGGGTGGGGGATGGAGTAAGAGGTTCTGGTTTTGGGGGCACTTCCTGGAACTGTGTTGCTCCAAGGCTGTACATCAGGATTCTTCTTCTTCTTCTTTTTTGTGGTACTGGGGCTTGAACTAGGGCCTTCACCTTGAGCCACTAGGCCAGCCCTTTTTGTGATGGGTTTTTTCGAGATAGAGGCTCACGAACTGTTTGCCCAGGATGGCTTGGAACCGTAATCCTCCTGATCTCTGCCTCCTTAGTAGCAGGGATTACAGACCTGAGCCACCAGTGCCTGGCAGGCTTCGGTGTAGTAAGACCAAGGAGACCCTTACGTGTCCTTGACTGGGGTGGGCTATAACAGCCAAGATGGGGCCACCGAAGTGTAGACCGCTATTGGGAAGTGACACAGAGAAAGAAAAAGAAAGGCACTAGACAGGGGACACAGTGGGGGAGCCACCAAAGGAGAAACAGACACAGTGAAGAAAGTCTGCAAAGGCTCTGTGAATGGCCGAGAGGAGTGGGCAGGGGGGCTCCTCCCACGAGCCCCCACGGCCACTCCCCTGCAGGGTTTTCCTGCCGCAGATGCAACCTGTGGGAAGAGATGGAGGAGGCCTGGAGGCCCCAGCTGTCTTCCGTGGGTTACAAGAAGTGAACTAGTTGGGCCTGGACACTGCTGCCACCTGGCGGGAAAAGCCTGCTACTTCTCTTGGCCCTGACCACCGCCGGGGTCATTCTCTGTGAACACTGAGTCTGTGTCCCTGAATTTGGGCACACAATGCAAAGGGGAGACTTGGGGAGGAAAAGGGACACCCTTGAGAAGTGTGCATGTTCCATGTTACTTTTATTCTCTCTGCTTTGCTTCCATTTTCTGTATAATGGGCGCATTATACCTTGTAGGGCTATTGTAATGAATGAGTCAGTTTGTGCAAATTACTTGGCATATTAAAAAGCACTAAGCCAGTGCTGGTGGCTCATACCTGTAATCCCAGCTACTTGGGAGGCTGATATCGAGAAGATAGCGATTCAAGGTCAGCCCAGGCAAATAGCTCAGGAAACCCCATCTCCAAAATAACCAGAGCAAAATGGACTAGAGGTGTAGCTCAAGTAGTAGAGTGCCTGCTTTGCAAGTGTGAGGCCCTGAGTTCAAACCCCAGTGCCATCAAAAACAAAACAAAACAAAAAGCCTCAATAAACGCTCCTTGTGGTTGATCAAGGGACAACTGGAGATTGTTGTCCCATCTCCCTACCCCAAAATGTGCAGCATCCCACAGTTTCAACTTTCAGCAACATCACCTCACCAAGTCTCTCCTGTTTATATCCTACTTATAAGTTCTGAGGCCACCACTATATTTTATTTTACTTTTTTCATGGTGCTGTGATGGAACCCAGGGCCTTGCACATGCTAGGGAAGAGCTGTACCACTGAGCTGTGTGTCCCCTCCACCCACAGTCCCCTGCCTCGTCTGTCATCAGCAGCATCCCAAAGGACATCTCACTAGGCCCCCTCTTCCCCTCTTCTACTTCAGGGGCTTGGGGGAAGGGTCGAAGTTTCTAGCACTTTTTCCTCTCCACCCAGAGGGGCCCATCAGAATGGCTCTGGACTGTGACATCATAGAGCCCCACTCCAGAATAGGAGTGGAGGGGTCATGAGGCTGTGGCAGTGGGTGCTGATGTGGGTGTGGCTGGCTAGGCTACAGGCCATAGACACAGGTGGGAAGGTAGCTGGGGAGCAGAGGGAAGGAAGGAGGCTGGAGGATGGACATGGCCCTTAGGGACGGGAGCCCAGTCCTGGACCTTTCTCTTTTCCCTCCACCCTCTCCTATCCTCCCCATCCCAGCAGCTGATTTAGCAACAAAATCAGCAGGGCTAGCTGACCCTGAGTCATTCTGGCTTCTTGGGGTAAGGACAGGGGTCTGGGGACTCTTATCACAGATTTTGCTCTGGGTCCTAGCGCCCAACCCAGAAAGCATCAAGGCTTTAGCCCAGGGAGCAGACTCTTCAGCCTTCATAGACAGATCTGACTTCTTTGATTATCCAGACTCAGACCAAACTAGCCTTCTGGCTGTAGCCCAGTTTATTGGAGAAAAACCTGTCATCTTTGTTAAATCAGGTATGAACCAGCTTGGGAAAGGGGCCTCCCTCTTGGCCAGGGCCTGGAGCAGGATAGCCCTTGACTCTCCTTGTCTGGCAGATTCCGGACCTGGGTTCTTCCATCACATCCTGGTGGCTGCCCTGGTGGTGGCCTTCTTCTTCCTTCTTTTCCAGTTCTGCACCCACATGTGAGGCATCCCTGGTGTCCCCAGCCAAACCCTGGACCTTCCCCATCTCCTCTGTGTGCGACCTCCCCCTCTGATCTCCACTCCACTCCCTCATATAGGAGCTTCCAGAAAGGAGCTTAAAGAATGTGAAGAGGGCTTTGGACAGATGCCCCCTGGACGCCTGAATCTCCCTCCTTTCCTGCCAAGAAATAAAGGTCCTGACCTTCTTCCTCCCTGACTGCCCGCTCATTGATCAGTTAGGATGGGGATCCTGCCTTCTCTGTGGTCATCCTGATCCCCATTCCCCATTCCTCAGCCCCTACTCCCTCCCTCCCTGGCCCCAAAGAACTGGGCAAGGAGGACCTGGGTGGCGTTCACGCAGATCGTCTTTATTAGCGGTCTGTAAAGCACCTCCCAGGGTCCCTGGACCCCAGATTGGAGGAAGCCTTGAGAGGTTGGTAGCACCAGGGACAAGCCAGGGCCCGAGGGTGAGATGTGCAGCTTGATAAGGAGGGGCTGGGCGCCCCTCACCTGCCCCAAGGGTTGCTCAGCACTGGGAAGGCTGGGGGGGTGGGTAGCAGCAACCTCTCTCCCCTATCCCAACAGATTAGTGTGATATGGGTGAATAAATAAAATAAATAAGATTCTCAGGCTGGCCTCTCTGGGGAGAAGCCATGGGGGACAACTGGCCCCTCATGCAGCCTATGGGGATGAGTTAGGGTGTTCTCTCTTCCTAGATGATGGGGAGTGGAGCGGGAGGGCCCACCTCTGTGTCCTTTGACTCCTGGTCCCCTTAGTCCCTGTCGTCTCCCCAGTGACCCTCAGCTCCCTGTGTGCTCCCACAGGGTGTGCAGGAAGGGGCTCAAAAGGCCAGCTGGGGCACTGTGGGGAGAAGGGATCCCCTCTCCCTGTACTCTGTCACCTGTCCTCAGCCCCTGAGGGTAGATGTCCCCTTCCCCTTCCAAGTCCACCTGCTAGTCTTGGGGCTGTCAGGCAAGGGGCCCTGACTCTCACTCCCCACCACTTGCCCCAAGCCCTGTCTCCTTGGGGTACAGTGGGGCAGGTCCCCAGCCCCACCCTCAGTCCTGGGTCTGACAGGGCGAGGGTGGTGGGGAGCCTCGGGGTCGGAAGAGCCGGCAAGCCCCTCGACAGATGAGGAAGAACCAGTAGAGCTGGGGGGCGAGGAGCAGGGCGGCACCCAGGTTGACGTGGGCCGGGATGGCCAGGGGCACAGCAAGCAGGGGCAGACCAGCGTGGCGCCCATAGGCCCAGTACAGGTAGGGGAAGAGCAGCACCCGGCAGCACAGGAAGCTGAGCAGCATCAGGGCCCCATTGACCTTGTGCAGCAGTGTGTGCTGCTGCTTGTACTGCGGACGGACAACGGACAGATAGGGATGGCAGGGCAGGAGGGGGCCCTGCCCACTGCCTGATGGCCCTCTGCCCACCTCCCCCACCACCCAGGCCCATGCCATCTGTCCAGGTTCTTGCCCCCTCAAGTAGACTCTCACCTGGATGAGGATCTTGCCAAGGCAGACGAAGGGGGTGCTGACCTCTGCCATCAACATGCAGCCTAGAAAGAAATCTCCTTTGCCCTGTCGCCACACCTGAGGGGAGAGGCAGGACGTGAGGACAGCCCTTGCCCTGCTTCTCTGCCCTTACCACTTTTGGAGATGCTTAACCCTGAGAGTCTGCTCACAGGTGGACCGTGGCTAAGCTGGTGTGTCACCTCTCCTGATCCTTTCTACAACCCTGCAGGAACACTCACACCACACCACGACTCAGAGATGTGCAGCAGCTGCTCCAAAGCAGCACAGCTGGGCATGGGCCAGGCCAGGCTGACTCCAGACCTTTGTGCCTCTGTGACCTGGGCAGGGCTGGTGCTCAGCTCCCTGCCTCCCCCCGCCCCAAGTGAGCTGGCATGATGCAGGAGACCAGCTTTCCACAACCCAACCCAGCCGCTTGTCTCTGGGAGAAGGACTCACCACCGACAGTGGGAAGCACACCAGCACCATGACGGCATGGTGGAGTACCATGAGGAACTCCTTGTGCAGGTAGCCGCGCACCACTGCCCAGGTGCTGCCTGGGGCTTGGCGTGCCCCATCATCCCCTCCGTGCCCTTTAACCTGGTGCTTGTGCCAGTGGCAGAGGAACATGGCGTAGATGTCATAGATGAAGTAGGGAACAGCAAATTGTGTGTAGGCAGAGGACAGCCAGTGCCTGTTGGACAGAGAGAAAGGGGATCAAGGAGGAAATCTCTCCCAGGTGAGAGAGCTCCTGGCTCAGGATGCTCCATGTGAATCAGATCTCAAGGGCTCTTCAAGACAAGTGGAGACAGGAGCAAGTCTCCAGTTACAGATGATGGAGCCCAAGGGTTGAGGGTGAGAAACTTGCCCAAGGTCACAGTGACACAGCCAGTAAGTGGTAGGGCTGGGACTCAAGCCAGATGGACCTCAGAACATCCTCCTCCCCACTCTCTCATCTCTCTTCCCTCCTCTCTCTCTCTCTGTCCCTCCCTCTCTCTGCAATATAGTGGAAGAAAAAAGGAGAAGAGACCACAAAACATCTGCAGATCACAGGGCAAAAATGGAGATGGCTCAGGCAGGTATAGACACCAGGTTAGAACACAGCAGCAGATGAGGCCAGCATGGCGGGCAGAGATCGCGTGGCCCAGCACCAACTGTCTCCTGACTACGTGCCAGACACTGTGCTAATATCTAAATCTTTACCTGGCATGAGCTCTTTTGCTCCTCATAAAACCCTGTAAAAGGTGAGCGTGGTTCTCATCTGCGTGGTATAGAGGAGGAGGAAACTGAGTCGTGAAAAGACTAGGTAATGTGGGCAAGGAGTAACCCTTCCCTTTCAGTCCCACTGTCCCTAGAAGGATCCAGACAGGCCAGATGTGGTGGCTCACGCCTGTAATCCCAGCTACTCAGGAGGCAGAGATTGGGAAGATTGAGCTTCATGGTTAAACCAGGGTGAAAAAAATTAGCAAGACCCCATCTCAACAAATAAACTGGGCCTGATGGCTCATGTCTGGCATCCCAGCTACATGGGAAGTGCAGGTAGGAGGATCTTAGTCCAGGCTGGCCCCAGGCAAAAAGAGTTGAGGGGTATCAAGAGTCAGGCCCTGCTGGTGAGGAGGAGGTGCTGTCACTGGCTCATTCTGGTGGATTGTTTCTTCAGGTCAGCCAAGCATTAAGGAGAAAATGCTGAGCAAAAGGTGCCGAGAACAGAGAAAGTTCTACAGACCTTGAGAGTAAACAAAAACGAGAAATGCATGCATATGCAACATTGCATTTTTCCCCCTGAGTCAGCACAGTGGCACTTTCTCTAAAATCCTGTGGTCCTGAGACAGGTCTGAGGTGGGGGTGGGAGGTCAAAAAGACAAGGCCCTGGGAGGTGAAGGGAGCCTGCCCAGAGTGGTGGAGAACCAAAGCAAAGTCTTTACATGCTATGTCAAGAAAGAGCTAAGACCAAGAGCTGCCAAGGGGAGAGGTGGAGGCCAGCTGAGGGTAGGGTGGGGCGTGAAGAAAGCAGAGTACACCCTGGGCAGGCTGGCTCTGGCAAGGGCCAGGGAACCTACTCAGGCTTGGACGATTTCAGGGAAAAGAGAACCTGAGACACTGGTGCATGTGACTGGGAGGCAGGGAGAGATGACAAGGAAGAGACAACTGGCTAGAAACAAAGGGCAAGAATACAGAGAGTGGGAGAAGTTATAGCCAGGGAGCAGCCCAGAGAGCTGGCTGACAGATAGGATGGGGCCAATAGGACCCTGGGTTGTGGGAGATGACTGGGAGGGCCCCAGGCCCTGGGCTGCCATCTGAGGTGTTCCATCCCAGCCTCACCGCCTCAGCAATTAAGGTTCTCAGAACAGGAACAGCTGTTGCCCTCAGATTAACCCTGATCCTCCCCACCTACCTGAGGATTAAAAGGGGGAGGAAGGACAAGAACAGACTTGGAGGGGGGGAGGAAATGCAAGAGCCAAAAGGTGACCTCTGATAAGAAGATAGGAGGCAATGCTTGGAAGCCCAGGCTCATCTTGGACCCAGTAGTGGGAAGGGGCGGGGAGAAGGCAAAAGGAAGCCAAGTCATCGGGCAGGATCTGAAGAGAGAGTTAAGCACCTCTACGAATGAGCCAAGAACTCTTCCAGGCGTTTGCCACACTCAACTCAATTGCTCCTTGCAGCAGCCCTTCCGGGAAGGGACTCCGCCTCACTCCACAGCGGAGGGAACTTCTCTATGGGAAGAGAGGAGGAAAATAGAGAACAGGGCGGGAGGGGGGCAGCTGGAGATCAGAGTCACCCAGACGATGTTCCCCTGGGGCTCAAAAGACACCAAAGAAGGAGAGGAGAGCCAGAAGCTAAGAGTGAGGGGAGGGCATCCTGGGCACTGTCACAGCTCAAAGTGGCCTGGTCAGCACCATGGACAGAGCCAGTCTCTTCCTCCTCCTCCTCCTCCTCCTGCCCCACCTCACAGGCCTGGGCCTTTTTGGCAAGCACCAGGCACTGCAGCAGCTGCCAGTGCCAAATTCTGGCCTCTTCACCCTCCTCCCTCCCCCACTGCCTGACCCTTAGTGGCCTTATGTCATCTCTCTCCTCTCTCCTCCCTCAGGCACAGAGCTGGGCTGGACATCTGGATTCAGGAAGGAGTTAAGGGGTGAACAAAGCATGGTGGGGGGGGGTGCCCCAACTGGGTGCTGGTTGGAAATGGGGCATGAGAGGTGCAAGAGTGGGAGGAGGCAGGGAGGAAGTGACATTCAGAATCCACTACAATACAAGAGGCCAGGAAGCCAACAAGGAGCTGTTTTGGGATTCTCTTTGACCCCCCACTCCTGCTCCCCCTGATTCTGACCTTTGAGGACCGGATGGGATAAATGTGTCCCTGGGTGTTGAGTTGCAGTAACTGCATGAACTTGCTCAGGCCCAAGTTAAGTTCTGGGGAGCACTGATAGTTCCCTTGAAGATCTGGGTACTCCAGGTCCGCGCATACACAGACTGCTGGGACATGGGTAGAGGTGGCCGCACAGCACTTACTGGTCATCAATGATGTGCTTGCAGGAGGTGGAGACGATGTAGCCAGCTGTGGAAGCCATGATGGCTTGGACGGAAGACACTAGCCTAGGGAGACAGAGGAAGGAGTGATAGAAGGGAAGAGGTGTGGGCCTTGATTTCTCCTTTTTACTGGTCTAGTACTGTGCTGTGGACCTGGTTACTTCTTGGGGCCATTTTTTTGCCCACCTTCTCCCCAAACCAGGCTTTCCTGCCACCACCACCACTATCTCCAGGCTTCTGGCTTTGGTGGACCACAACTCCTCAGTCCACCTCAGCCCTCCCAGCCTTCCTCCTCCTCTCAGTGTGTGGGCACTGAGTTGCCTTCCTCTCAGGACACAAGGAGGTCATCCTGAGGTGAGACAGTGCTGGGAACAGCTGATAGCAAGGCCTCTCCCTGGGGAGAGATAGAGGGGACACCCAGGAGGGCAAGGGGTGCTCCTGCACCACTTAGCCACCCAGTCACCATGCTGCTCATCACCCTGGCCCCACAATGACCCCAAATTCCCCTGGCCACTTTCCCATTCTGTCCTCATCTGCCACCAAACTCCACTCCCTGATGCTAGCCCTGTTTCAGGGTTGCGTGGAGTTCCACTGTTCACTTCTCTGTGCCTTGGCCCCCAAACACCAGTCCTGAAAAACACAGGGCTCTGCCCCTTGCCTTGTTCCCCCATATCTTATAAAAACATTTCAGTCACATGCTGGCCTGTTTTGGAGGGTGGGAGGGTGACCAGGGAAGGAAGGAAAAGCAGACCGGATGCTAGTAGACCAGATGGCTGGCTAGGATGAGGTCTCCCAGTAAGGTAAGTACAGCCAGAAGGAGGGAGAAGGAAGCTGAAGATGAAGCCCACTGACCACTGCAGAAGCTCCCTGTCCCAATGAGACCAAGAATGCAGGGAAGTGCTGGGGTCCTTCAGTCCCCAAGAAGCCTGGCAGGGAAAGAGGTGTTGAGCTCAGGGAAGGGATGTCATTTACCTGGCTGAGACAATGACCGCGTCAGCCTCCTCCCAGCGCAGCTGGGGCAGCCTCTGGAGCGTATTCTTGGAGAGAAGGAAGAGTCCGGGGAACACCACCCCCCCAGCCACCATTGGGGTCAGCATGGTGACAAGCAGGGCAGAGAAGGAACAGGGAGGTTGGGCCGAAGAGAATTAGAGGTGGAGAAGAGACGCCAGGCCAGGGAAGGAGAGAGAAAGAGAGAGGAAGGGGCACAAAGGGGACAGGGCGGGGACACAAGGGGACAAGGGAGCCAGACCAGAGGCAGAGAGAAAGGGACTTGGATGAGACTGGGAGAGAGGGCTGGCTGGGCCAGGCAGGGCCGGGAGGGCGAGGATGGGAGAGGGAGCAGGAGAAAGCCAGTAAGAGGGATGGCAAGAGAGGTGACCAGGAGAGGACTTGGTGAGAGGACTGATAGGGAGAGGGGACAGAGGAGGAGGAGGATGCAACTGGGGGAGGGGAGGGGAGGGAGAGCGCGGCACCGCAGGTGGGGGGGGGGCTTACGTGGAGAGGCTGGGAGGGCCCAAGGAGGCGGGGTGGGGGACGGTGGTGCCAGCCCTGAAAGGAAGGAGGGAGGGAAGGAAGGAGCCAAAGGAGCGGCTGGGCAAGTGGTCAGCGGTCAGCACTGTTCTCCCGCCACCACTGCCTCCTCTCGCTGCCGCCGCCACGGTCCCCGCTGCCCAGTGCAGACACTGCACATGGCATTATAGAGAGTTGGTACCCAGCCCCCTGCCCCCTCTGGGGGAGGGGGTGGGGAAGGGAAGCCACCAGCTGGGGGTGGGTGGGGGAGGGGTGGGGAAATTATGGCACCGACCAGACACCAAGAAACCGGACCTGCAGCAGCGTCTCCCATGCAGCTCTGAGCCACAGCAGCGGCTGCGACAGAGATAGGGGGAGCAAGGAAAGAGGAAGGGGGAGGCCCTTAAAGAGACAGCAGCTGCGGTGCAGGGGGTTGCTGGGGACAAGGGTCAGGGGAGGGACAGCTCTTCCTTTGGGAAAGGTGCTGGCCCAGGGCTCCCTGGCCAGTTGGGAGGGGCTCTGTGCCCCCAGATGGGGCTGACACTGTTTCCCATCAGCACTTGGCTGATGGGAAGTGCCTGGCATTTCCTCCTCTGCCAGTGCCTCCCCACATGTGTTCCTCAGTGGCCAGCCTGACATCTCAGCTTAGGGGCACCTGCCCCAACCAAGAGAGGATTCCCTGGGGAAGGAGCTCCAGTAAGCATATCTTGTTTTCTCTGAAGGAAGCTTTGAAGGGAAAAAAGGGAACGAAATCACCTGACACACAGGTCCCTTCACCCTCACTCTTCACCCCCACTCTGCTGCAAGGTGCCCCATGTCCTCATCTAATGATGGACCAGGCAGATGGACTTGTCCCCTCCTTCCAGGCCAAGAAATGGTCCTCAGGCTTGAGTGACAGTCCCCAAAGTCACAAAGTTACCATACAGCAGGGAACCCTCTCATACTAGGCATCAGATTCACAGTAAAGGGCTTGAAGAACCACAGCCTCTAAGAAAACCCACCTGGAGCCCAAGGAGGCCTGGCTCCACTCCTCTGACTTCCTGCCTCTCCTGGCATCCCCAAGCACCTAGTGCACTCTGTCCCTTTTACTGTGTGCCTGACTCCCTTTCCTCTGCCACTTTATACAGCAGCCTAGTTTCTATTTGGGAAAGGACCACAGGGGTTGTCTCGTTCAAGTCCCACAATGAAACTGAGGCCCGGAGTCGCAATGGAGATCAGAGCAGCCTAATCCAGCTCAGAGCTGCTTCTCTTTAATGTGGCTTCCCTGGAACCCTTCCTGTCTGTCCTGAGCCCAACTGTCCTGCAGAACTCTGCATGACATAGACCTGCTGCCCAAACTGTTCTTTGCTCTCCAGATTCGCCCTGAGATCCACCTCAAAAATCAACTCTCCCACTGGCCTTTCCAGCCCAAAGCCCACTCCCAGTTTCCTACAGGTCTAGGGCTTGCGATTTGCAATTTTGTGCTGCCCTCTAGTGCCACAATGTAGGAAAGATCTGGAGGAGTCGGTTTTAGAGAGGATGGTAGACCAGATTTCCTGACCCCAGAGTTTCACTTAAGGAAGAGAACTAACCTCCTAAGGTTTAGTAAAAGCTGAGAACAGAGAGAGATGTGTAATTTATGTTGATGCTCCTTTTTTTTCAGTACTGGTGTTTGAGCCTACACCTTGAGCCACTCCACCAGCCCTTTTATTTGTGCGATGGGTTTTTTCGAGGTAGGATCTAGTGAACTATTTGCCCAGGCTGGCTTCGAGCTGTGATTCCCCTGAATAGGATTACAGATGTGAGCCACTGGTGCCTCGCCAGATGATGGAAACTGAGGTTTAAAAGTTTAAGAAAAACTTGCCAAGATAACACAACTGTGAGTGTTGGTAAAGCTGGATTTCAAAACCATGTTTGTGAATTGTGAATTGCAAAGCCAAAGGTGAGCAGAAGTTCCTGAGGATGGGTGATGGATGACCACAACCTGAGAACCACAAGCCTCATCAGAGAACTGACCATCCATGTTGTACGATGCAAATTAAAGCAGATGAAGATGGGGTTTTCTGGTTTGTTTGTTTGTTTGTTTGTTTTCCGCCTGCAAGTAATTCACTTAGACCCCTTCTAGGCTGGTATGTGGCTCTCTGGTACAGCACTGGACCAGCATCAGGAGACCTGGGTTCCATAACCAGCACTGAAAAGAAAAAAGGATTCTGCCTTCTGAACACTCCTCGTCCTGTCTACGGTTTTACAAAGCTCACATTTAGCTCTACCAAACAGGTAACAAATTTGCAGCCTGAGGGCCACCCCAGCCCAGGTTGGTGTCACCACCTGAATGAGCATTTTCTTGAATTCCAACTTGTCTGTGTTCCAAATTTGGCAAATTTCACATAAAACGCAATAAAAATTTTTATTTAATTTTTGTAGCACTGGGGATTGAATGGGCTTTTTGTTTTGTGGGACTGGGTTTGAATTCAGGTCTTTAGGGTTTCATGCTTGCAAAGTAGGTATTCTATACCTTGAGCCACACCTCATATATATATATATATATATTTTTTTTTTTTTTTGCTATGGTTATTTTGGAGATGGGATCTCACAAACTACTTCTCCCAATCTCAGACTCCCAAGTAGTTAGGATTACGGGTGTGAGCCACAGGCAACTGGCTGGTTTGTTTTTTTGTTTTGTTTTGTTTGTAGTACTGGGGCTTGAACTCAGGGCCTCCACCTTGAGCCACTCCACCAGTCCTTTTTGTGTTTGGTATTTTCAAGATAGGGACTCATGAACTATCTGCCCAGGCTGGCTTTGAACTGTAATCCTCCTGATCTCTGCCTCCTGAGTAGCTAGGATTACAGGTGTGAGCCACCAGTGCCTGGCTGTATTTTGTTTTTGAGATAGAGTCTCACTAACTTTTTGCAGGTGCTTGCCTTGAATTCTAGATCCTTCTGCGTCTATTTCCTAGTAGCTGGGATTTCAAGTGTGTGCCACCACTCACAGGCCAAAGTTCAACTTTTAAGGAAAAATCAGAAAAGACAACATTGGGCTTTCCTTCTAACTCCATAATGCCTTACTGGAGATGAGGAACTGCTGCACCCACTGGCAGGACCGTGAGTCCTCCAGCTCATGGCATCCTCACAGAGCCTACAGCTCTGTATGCTTTGCAGAAACTTGCAGTCCTTTCTTCATAAAGCGAGTATTATTATTAAAACCCATTTCCAAATGAAGAATTTAAGGACTGGCAGAGTGGTTCAATTGGTAGAGCGCCTGCCTAGCAAGCATGAGGCCCTGATCTCAGTACCACCAAAAAAAAGAAAAGAAAGAAATCAAAATGAGGGATCTGAAGCTCTGAGGTTAAATGATTTGCAAAAGGTCCCACAGCTGGTGTCTTTTTACTCTCAACCCCAGTCTCATCCTACATTTTCCTCCTGCTTCTACCACCATCTTGAAATGACCAGCCCCAGCAGCCCTGGCCCAGGGAAGATACCCTCACTCTGTCTTCTTACTTGGATGCCACCAAAACAGCCTCTTGTGTCTCCATTTGCAGGCTAGTGTGGTTCTGCAGGCCCCAACGGAGTGCTGCAAAGCACGATGGGAAGAAGATGCATCCTAGTAGAAACAGTAGGGTCATGCCTGTCTGGAGAAGAAAAAAAAAGCTGGCCATATAAACACTTCAACACAGCATCCTTCAGAACCCCAGCCCCGCCCCAGCTTCCTTCACCCCAAGGACACGATAGCCCATGAGATCCATTCGTCTGTCACCATTGAAAGCCACTAAGCGGACCTCTGGCCTAATTCCTTTAGATCCTGGTGGCATGGTTAATATCCTTCATTGAGGCAACTGGACATCCTGTTTGCTTGTTTGTTTTATTTTGAACCCAATTCCCAATTCCATTTCTTTCTCTTTTTTTTTTTTGTAACCCCTAAAGACACCCTGTCCAACCCACACTTTAAAACTACTCCTCTTTGCCCAGCACTGATAGTTTATGCCTGTGATCCTAGCTACTCAGGAAGCAGAGATCAGGAAGATCTTGGTTCAAAGCCAGCCCAAGGCAAATAGTTGCAAGACTCTATCTTGAAAATATCCAACACAAAAAAAAGGGCTGGTGGAATGGGTTGGTGGTAGAGCACCTGCCTAACAAGCAAGCACGAGGCCCTGAGTTCAAACCCCAGTGCCTCCAAAAAAATTCCTTCTCTTTCCCTTCTGTGCAGTTCTCAAATCCCCGCACGCCACCCCCACAGCTCTTATGTCAAATCCCGCCCGCCCTTTAGGTGCTCAGACTTCTCACGGGCCTCACCTCTCAGGGACAAGGTGGGAGGGCAGGGAGAGGGTAGATGTTTCTCCTCAGCACCCAAAACTTGGAAAGGGGAAGGGAGGGGGTGTTCAAATTGTCAAAACACTTGAAATTTTAAAATAACATTTTAAAATAAAAGCATGTCAAAGAGATTATTATCCTATAAAAACGAGGGAAAAAAGCAAAAGGAAACCCTGAAAACATATCTTTACACATAGATTATTTTTGCTTGGAAAAGCCTCCCCTCCCACCCAGTCCATGGAGGAGGGTGGTGGGGAAGGCCCAGGAGGAATGGAGGGAGTTGGAGTCTGCCATCCTGCATCCTTGAGTGGCTTTGAAGGGACCTTCTCAGGATTCAAGGAAGGTGTCAAACTGCTCTGCCGAGGCAGTTGGAGAGGCAAGAGTATAGCGCTCCCATTGGTGGATTGGTTGGACTATACTGCTTTCCTATTGGCCAACTTCTTGAAACAAGTGTCCTATCATTTCTTTCTGATCCCGTGGAGGGGGTAGACATTCTAGCGCCTTGGGGCAGAATTGGCCAATCAGAATTCGTTGATGATTTGATGGACAGTTATCTTTCGGGGGTAGAGAGGAAAGAAGGGAAAGGAAGGTGAGGGAGAAGACCGACAGTAAGAA